TGGAAGCAACCTGCCAAGCACCAGGAAAATCGGAAGATCCAGACAGTTCAAAGAGGTACAGGTGGTTCTCGACTTACGGCCACAATTGAGCCCAAAATTTCTGTTGCTAAGTGAAATATTTGTTAAGTGAGTTTTGCTCCATTTTATGAACTTTCTTGCCACAGTTGTTAAGTGAATCACTTCAGTTATTAATTTAGTAATACGGTTGTTAAGTGAATCTAGTCTCCCAATTGACTTTGCTTGTCAGAAGATTGCAAAAATGGGATCACATGTCCCTGGGATACTGCAACCGTCATAGATATGAACCGGTTGTCAATCTTCTGAATTTTGACTGTGAGGATGCTGCAATGGTGTGAAAAACAGTCATAAGTCTCTTTTTTCAGCAATGTTGTAACTTCGAACTAAATGAACTGTTGTAAGTTGACTACCTGTATAAAGATTTATTGCAAGCTTGAGCTCTCTACAAGAATCTGAACTCCTAATGGCCAAGGGAAATTAGCGGGAGATAAAAGTAGAAGGAATTCAAGGAACTCTTGTGGGCCCAAAGGGACTCATGACTGATGATACATTTGATCCCTCAAGCAAAAACCCCAAATTCAAGTATGTCAGAAAAGCAACACAAATGCAGAGCTACAGGGGTAAAAGGACCCTCGGCTTACGGGGCAGGGAGAGGGACGGTAAAAGAGCACTAGGAAATAATCACACACGTATTTCATTTCCCAACTTTTTCACTGTCTTTTGAAAGGATAATGGAATGCTTACTAAAATAAAGTAAAATGCGCCTTCAATTTCTCTGAAGAGTCAGAACAAAAAGTTTGGTCTTAAGGATCATACATATTCTGATGTGCAAACTCTGATCTGCAGAATGCAAAATCAAAATGGGTAGTATTTTGGGATCATCAATAATGCCCAAATTTGACTTGAGGACATTACTTAGTCCCCTCTGCTGCTGCCCCACCATCCTTGAATTAACTTAATTTACATTCATGATGACCTAACCCAGGGGTAGGCAACCTTGGCTCTTTTATGACTCGTGGACTTCAACTCCCAGAATTCCTGAGCCAGCTGGGAGTTGAAGTCCACTGAGTTATAAAAGAGCCAAGGTTGCCTACCTCTGACCTAACCCATCCCTTTTCAGAGGCTCAGTTCATGTGCCGGCTGCCAGGCAGAAAGGGGATTTATGATAGAAACCAATTCTTACTGCCACCATTTCCATGCTTTGAGAATCCAGTTCCCACAGAACTATCACAATCCTTCCAACTGACATTCAAGACTTAATTCATTTGAAAATCATGCCTCATGGCTGGTGTTTTGATTCAATATGCACGAAGCAGCCCTGAACATAGTTTTAAAATCCTTTTAAATTGTCATAACAGGAATTCTCACATATCCCGCTTAGAGTTGTCTGAATGGATTACTAGCTTAGAAATAAACAGTAAACCTTATACTAAACAGTTTCCATGTTTCTATCTGTCATTCCAACGTAAAGATCATCATCTAACATTTACACGTGTGAGAATCAGATTGATTCACCTATTATACAACCAAAAAAGTACTGTTAAAAACAGAGATATCCAACTTTGGCAAGTTTAAGACTTGTGGACGTCAATTCTCACAATTCCCCAGCCAGCTATATGCTATGGTAGCTGCCCTGTTCCAGAGTGATCAGCTGCAAATGCTAGCCTTCAAGAACCAGCTTCATTATGGAACTATAAAAAACAGGAAGTAGAGATCTGAAGCCACAGACTCCTGTTCTTTCATCATTAGAACTGTCACGAGGAAGTGATAATTGTCCATTGCTGTGAAATAGTGAATAAAAAGAATTCTAGCTTTGTTACGCCCGGATGGCCACAGACCCACCAAACTAGCAGCTACTCTTTTCAATGGAACAGGCAGGAATAAGGCGCACACACCCCATGCTTCTTCAACATACATACAGATTTTTAAGGTGTTTTTTCATTTCACAGGAGGAAGAGAGGAGTAGGATATCTTTTATAAAGAGAAGTATATACTCTATTTGCTCCTGGAGGCCAGCTGTCCCAGTTCTTTAAACTAGGAAAGACCACAGGAAGGAAAAGCACAAATCCCCCCCCTCTAGTTTCCCCCCCTCTAGTTTCCTCATCAGACTAGAAGCATTCATCCCCATCATTTTGTTTCTTCCATTAGCTTTCCCCAACCCAATATTCTTCTGAGTGCTGGCTAACAGACCTCTCATAGCAGTGATGCCGAACCTTTTAGAGACCGAGTGCCCAAACTACAACCCAAAACCCACTTATTTATCACCGAGTGCCAGGTGGGCATGGCTGTGGTGGTCATCGCAGACTTGGTGGGTGTGGCCAAGGTGGGTGTGGTCACCTCGATGTTGCTCATGGGGAGGGATGTCTGTGGAGCCAGGCAGGGTTCGGGGAGATCCAGGGGGTCTCTGGCAGGTGGGGCGGTGGGCAGGAGGCTCGTCCTGCGGGATGAGGCGAGGCAAGGCAAGGCAGAGCTGGGGTGCCATTGTCGCAGGACGAGGCAGGGCCAGGGCGGCTGCTGCCTGACACCATCAGCCCCCGCACACAGAGGCCAGTGAGCACATGGGGGCCAACAGTGTCTGTCAGCAACCACAGCCTGCCGGCCCCCCGACCGGCACACTCTGGGGCTCCGCAGCCCGCCACCAGAAGTTCAAAGAAGCCGCCTCTTAGCTAGACAGACGGCCGACAGCTGAGAAGGTGATGCAGTGGGTCGTGCCCGGGAAAAGGAGAGCATGCAAGACCAGGAGGGATGGGACAGGGGGGAGGGAAACCAGCCGTGCTGGGATGCATCCGGCCACGTGAGCCCTTGGCGAGTTAGCTGGCGGCTGGTTGAAGAGGGACGGTTGCCATCTCCGGGGCATGGCGCGCGTGCCCACAGAGAGGGCTCCGAGTGCCGCCTCTGGCACGCGTGCCATAGGTTCGCCACCACTGTCTTATAGCCAGCCAGCTCAGCCACAATTGAAAACTCTGCATAGCTAGAGAAAAGTACAGAAGGTTAGCACAACTAGGAAAATTAGAGATGCCCAAAGCAATAAGCAAAGCTAGTTTGGATTTCAGAACACAGAGTGCCTTTGAAAAGGTCTAAAGCAGAGGGAGGCAGCATAGCAAGAATTTCGGGCAGAAAGGAGATAAGGAAAAGAGCCTGAAGCTCTTAAGGCACATGACTTTTGCCTGGCCCCAATTGCACCCTGTCCCATTGCTTTACTCCTGGAAGGAATCAGCTTGCCTTTTTTTTTTTTTTTTGGTCCCCTTCCTAGCAGACAAAATAAAGCAAGAATGAGCCATGGAAGCAACAGCAGCTGCTTTTTCTTCCCACAAAGCCTTTCTCCACTCATGATTTGTGATTCACTCAGACATCCCCCCCCCTCCTCCATTTATCAGATCAGCAATGATGGGGAAAGAAGAGGAAACTAAGCAGGGAAGGAAAAGGACAAGAGACTGGATGCAGAAGCAAGTAAGAAAATATTTCAATATTTCCCATGTGGTGCCCTCCAGATGTGTGGGATTATAATTCAAACCCGCCCCGATTCTCATGCATTCAGATCTTCTCTGAAATGTTTCTTTTTTTTTCTATTTAACTGCATGTAGTTGATATATTATTTAATGTATTGCTACTATGCAAACGCTTTTGGATAGGAGGCGATATAAAAAGTTATTAAATAATATACCATCCTTCACCACGTTATTTGTTCTGGTTAGGGAAACCAAGAATGAAGCCCACGCATTGCATTCTCCACGTGCTGAGGAACGAACCCCTATCTTCTAGGTAGGCAAGACTAGCAATACATGTAACAGGCCCATCAGGAAAGAAAAAAAAGGTTAACGAAATCTGCAGGATCACAGCAGAGAACAAAAGGGGATCGAATGATCAAACCCCAGGTCTTAACCTACAAAGAAAGCTATAAAAATACGAGCAGTTTAATGGCAATGATCATTAAAGTGAATACCTTTACCTCTTTACAGTAAGAGAATGGGACTAGAGCAAAATGCCAGGAAGAACTTGCAAACACAGCCCCAACTCACTATTGCTAAGAAGCCCATCCATCTCTCGAAAGTATGCCTAGCCAGGAGAGAGTTTCAGGTCAGATCACCCTGTGTAGATTTCCTCAGCAACCTTCCCAGAGCCTCTTGCCTCTTTCTACCACTCTGTTCCATAGAGTAAACCAGAGGTAGGCAACCTTGGCTCTTTTATGACTCGTGGACTTCAACTCCCAGAATTCCTGAGCCAGCATGGCTGGCTCAGGAATTCTGGGAGTTGAAGTCCACGAGTCATAAAAGAAGCAAGGTTGCCTACCCCTGGACTGTTGTCCCCACAAGAGCTGCTTCAAGCTATACAGACAGGTTAACAACACATAGGCAACTCCTATTACCAGCAGCACAAGCCAGCATTGATCCCAGAAATTTAGTAAATACATGGCAGGTTGTGAGAGGAGAAACAGGTTTTCATCATTTTTTCTCTTCCTATCATCTGTTCCAAACCTCAGCTTCATTGTCTGTGCGTCTGCATGTTTTCAATACAGTTATGCACCTATTGACTAGGCTTCTTACTGTATGATGAGAACCGACAAAATACATATTTTGATACTGGACAAAAAACCGTAACTTATTCTTTTTCCCCCCCAGGCAGACACCATACTTCTATATAACTACTGGCTCACCTTTAAAAAAAACAACAGATGAGTTCATCCAACTCATAATATATTGTAACCCTGCCTCTGTCTTTCCTGTCTTCTCCATCTTTGCAGAAAACACGTGCATGAGGGACTGCAGGCAGGACACCTATTTGTATGGCCAACTCACCAATGTGGTGTGGAAAACAACCCCCTTCCCCCCCCCCTTTTCCCTCCCTTAAGCGTCCAGGTTCCAGGAATAAGGATCGCTACGCCAAATAAGCACACACGGATGCAAGGATCGCGCAAGCAACGCGTAAACAACCCGTCGTCCGGCTGTCAACTGCACGTAGGGATCTGCACTGGGGTCACTCACGTGTCTCCGTCCTCGGATAGGAAAGCAAGGATCTCCAGCAGTTGCTGCCTGAGCCTCTCCTCCTCCTCCTCCTCGTTATCCTCCTCCTTCTCGGGGTTAGGCTCCCCTTGCAGCCCAGTTAAGGACTCCACAATAGACGAAGAGCCGTAACTCGAATCAAGTCTGTCGTCTGCCGGTTCCTCTTTGCCTTGACTGGGAGATCCGGGGATTTTATCCAACGGGATCCTTCCGGCCGCCGGGGACCGGGGCTCCGCTTCCCCAGGCTGGCCGTGCAGTGAACGGATACAATCGACACCCGAGTCGCACTGCCCTTCTTCCAGGTACGCGCCGCCTCCGCCGCCGCCACCTTCCAGCAGCATCTCTTTCTTCTCCCCGTAGCTCCGGATCTCCGACATGGTCCCCAGCGCAGGAAGCGACGAGGTTCTCCCCCAAGAGAGGCGCTTAGGAGACCGGCACGCGCAAAGTCCGAAAACGAGGAGAAAGCGAAAACCCCGGAAAGCTCATGCCGAGAACAGAGCAAACCCCAAGCCTGCAAAGAAACAGCGAGCAGAGCCGCCTGCTCCGCCTGGGTTCCGCCCAGCCGCAATAAAGCCCGCCTCTTCCCCTCCCGTTGGAGAGCGCCACCTGGCGTTGCGCGTGAAAATGACTTCCTCCTCCGCCGGCCTTGGAAGCCGCTCGGCTACTGTTTATAGTACAGTAGCTGTCCGCGCTGAGGTTACGCTTGTCCTCTTCTCCTTAGGAAGGCGCTGACACGGAACTCTTCCCAATAGCGTTTGAGCATTGAGACGAGGCCATCCGGGTTTCGAATGTATTGGTTTTTTGAGGTCGGGTGTTATACCGGGAATGCCTTTCATTCCCTTCCCCCCTCCACCCCGATTATAATTATGTACGGTGGGCGTTTTATCGTTTTCATTTGTCGTGGATGTTTTGAGGTCGTGGGAACAGCCAGAAGTCTTGACTGAATTGCAGCTCTGACTAAACCAGTGTTTCTCAACCTTGACAATTTTAAGGCATGTGGACTTCAACTCCCAGAATTCCACAGCCAGCAATGCTGGCTGTGGAATTCTGGGAGTTGAAGTCCACATGCCTTAAAATTGTCAAGGTTGAGAAACGCTGGACTAAACGGAATAAATAAATGTGGGGCAAGGGCAGACGTTAGAAAGCAACTCAGCTCGGCAGTTTTTAGATGCTGAACTTAATAAATCCGCAATGACCCTCAGCCGATCTATCTTCAACTACAGTGAGGGTGGCAAACAGCAGAAAACTCCTGCATCTGGGTTCTTGCAGTCTTTATACAAATGAACACATGCAAATAATGCACATTTAGGAACCATTTCTCTTTCAGCCCGCTTCATGTGTTCAATACGGTATGCAAATACAACTTACAACAGTTCATTTAGTGACCGTTTGAAGTTACCACAGCACTGAAAACAACTGACTCAAGACTATTTTTCACACAACCATTGCAGCATTCCCCTGTGGTCATGTGATCAAAATTCAGATGCTTGGCAGCTGACTCATATTTATGACGGTTGCAATGTGATCACTTTTTGCGACCTTCTGACAAGCAAAGTCAATGGGGAGGCCAGATTCACTTAACAACTGTGTTAGTAATTTAACAACTGCAGTGATTCACTTAACAACTGTGGCAAGAAAGGTCGTAAAATGGGGCAAAACTCACTTAACAAATGTTTCACTTAGCCACAGAAATGTTGGGCTCATTTGTGGTCCGAAGTTGAGGACTACTTGTACAAAAACCAGAATAAAGCTAAAGTCACAACAACAGATTTGCAGGCAAAAAATGTATCAAAGTTTTTTTAAACTGCTCATTGTATACACTTTGTGCACATATATGAATTTGCCCAAGTTTGGTGTGAATTATTGGATTACATATGTCATAGCTGTAGAGTTTCATGTATTGCATTTTAGCCATAGCAAGACTAACATCAGTGCAAAGGGATACCAGGAGTATCTGCATTGGTTATGTTCTCAGTTGTGTACTCTTCTGTAGGATCTAATTTATAAAAGTCTAGAGACCTGTAACTTGCATGAACATTAGAAAAATTCTTCATCTTTCTTTTCATATTTTAAAAGAAAGCCCAGCAACTCCTATAGCCAGGATCAATAAAGGCAAATAACGTGTAATAAGAATTCTTGCACTGCCTTAGGACCTACAGGAAACTCACTACTGCTCCAGGATTTAGCAGCAGCAAGCTCTACCAAACTAAATTAAACTGAACAACTATACTTTTAACTTCATGTGTGTAGAATGAAGCTGGTCCACATAATATTTTCACTGTGTTACATAAATCCAGGAAATTGTGTGAATTGAGTAAGCATGATTCAGTGAACCATGAGGAAGGGTGACATCAGTGTCTGTGTGATCAAAGTCATCACAATATTACCAACTAGAGCCAGAAAAATCACATACCAGCAAAGCAATAATGTGAATTTTAAAGTTAGTACAAACAAATTGCTTGACCCTCTTTAACAGATTGGCACCTTAGAATCTGGTTTTAAAGTATAAAATGACTTCAGTTTTTATCCTCTGGCCTTATTGCTACGGTAATGCTGAATTGCAAAAAACAAAACCATATAAAACTTTTTCTTGGACTCTCCCCTGTGTAATAATTGAAGTTATAAAATTGACCTGTAGGAAGAAGACTGAATCTGAGTGGCAGAGAGGTCAGAAGGTCTTGAATTTAATTCCTGGTATCTTGAAAGTAGACACAGGCTTGAATACTTAAATGATTTCTTAATCATTTAAGCCAAATCCTAGGACACGGGTGTCAAACTCACCAGGTGACGTGACGTGTCATGACGTATCGTGGCTTTTTTTGCATTGGCGGAGCTGGGGTGGGCGTGGCCTCCATATGATGCAACCGGCCCACGGGCCGGCAGTTTGACGCCCCTAACCTAGGGGTCTTGGCTTGTTTAAGTACAAGATATTCACGATCCCATGAACTCCCATGAACTTTGACATCCATGCCAAGATTCAGAGTCCTTCTGAGAGTGAGATGAGCTGTATTTAAATTTGATAAACAAATAAGACCAATTTGATTGATACAGCTCTAGTTTACAATGCCTCCTTGTAAAACTTTATGCAGTTAGACCCAGCATCCCTTCTCTATCCATCTTTACTGAACCAGGTGAAATTAAACGCATACTGGACTAGGGCTTGGCTAGAGTGAGTAATGCACTTGATGAAGGCCAGTGCAGTGAGACTGACTCTTGAGAAGACAAACTGTAGGTAGTTTCTGTATCCAGAAAGTCAGAAGATGGTTTGTTTAGGATAGGGGGTTCCATTGTCAGGAAGAAGCAATCAGCAGCAGTCCTTGGGGGAGAGGGGACTCACACAATTAGCTTTTTCACTGGAGGCACACAGACACAGTGGCCAAGAGTGACTACTTGTAGCGGCAGCTGATTCTTCTACTATATTTTTCTTTGGCTAATTTACCTTAGTGATTTCTTATTTGAATTGTTATCATATTCTCTAAGCCTTGTTTAAAGTTTCTATTCCTGCAGAGTGCAGCTACTCAGTTGCTGAATGACAAACAGAGTCAGAGCCACACTATACCCAATTTATTCTGATTGCATGTTTCTAATACTGAGTCAAATAAATGACATTGAACAATGAACTGTATGTCTGTGTATACCTAAATTGGTTTATTGGTACATGTTCTACTTATGGTGCTGTCTATGGGTAGATTCCAGAAAAGTGGGGAAATATAGGTAAGCAGGAGAAGAATATATGATTTTTTTTTAAATCACAAAAAGATTTAGGTTCACATATTTCAGTACATCATGCTCTACTTAAGCACGGTTTTTGAATGTTTTGTAATCACAATTTGCTAAGCCATAGATCATTGTTTTAAAATGCATCAGTTTTTGCTCATATAACATGCTAAGTGGAAGTCAAACAGATCATAATAGATTAGATAACATAAAATTCATAGATCATTGATTCTTTCTTGGTCTTTCTCAGGGCTATTAGTAACCATTAATCTAAGTATACTGTAGAAATTTCCCAAATAAGAAATATGGCTTCAAATAACTTGATTCATTAAGAATTCTTTAATTAGCAGATAAATCAGTTTTGGTCACCGCGATGTAAAAAAGATGTTGAGACTCTAGAAAGAGTACAGAGAAGAGCAACAAAGATGATTAGGGGATTGGAGGCTAAAGCATATAAGGAACGGCTGCTGGGAATTGGGTATGTCTAGTTTAATGAAGAGAAGGACGAGGGGGGACATGATAGCAGTGTTCCAATATCTCAGGGGCTGCCACAAAGAAGAGGGAGTCAAGCTTTCCTCCAAAGCACCTGAAGGCAGAACAAGAAGCAATGGGTGGAAACTAATCAAGGAGAGAAGCAACCTAGAACTAAGGAGAAACTTCCTGACAGTGAGAACAATTAACCAGTGGAACAACCTGCCTCCAGAAGTGGTGAATGCTCCAACAATGGAAGTTTTTAAGAAGAGACTGGACAGCCATTTGTCCGAAATAGTATAGGGTTTCCTGCCTGAGCAGGGGGTTGGACTAGATGACCTCCAAAGTCTCTTCCAACTTTACTACTACTACTACTACTACTACTACTACTACTACTACTACTATTATTATTATTATTATTATTATTATTATTATTATTATTATTATTATTATTATTATTATTATTATTATTATTATCAGAAGGAGTCCAGGACTAGAATTATTCTCACAGGCTCATTCGTCATGTTAGCCAATTAAAATGGATGCTTGATGGAATTTGTTAGGCCTGAACTGCATTAAAAACTTTTTTTTATTTATCTGTCCATATGTGAAAAGCAGAGAATGATTGGATTCTGAGCTAGCAATGATTGAATATAACAAGAATAATAGAATTACAAGGTTAGAAGAGACCTTAGTCATTTATTCAAACCTCTAATGTTTCTTTATGGTGGCAAGAAGCACAATACAAATATTTTAAAATGAGTGAAAAAATAAGAATGTAGGAAATATGTGGTGGCACAGTGGTTAGAATGCAGTATGGCAGGCTGATTCTCCCCACAGCCTGGAATTCGATCCTGACAGGGCTCAAGGTTGATTCAGCCTTCCATCCTTCCGAAGTCGGTAAAATGACGACCCAGATTGTTGGGGCAATATGCTGACTCTGTAAACCACTTAGAGAGGGGCTGTAAAGGACTATGGAGCAGTATATAAGTCTAAATGCTATTGCTATATTAAAAATAAGAAAATATTATAATATATTATATTTATAATAATCTTATTGTGATAGCTACACCTGTGCATTTAATATTTCTGAACTCCCAATGCTATCTGGTAGCTATGAGCATAGGATATTGTGCTAACCTGCTCAGAGCAGGCTTCCAACAGCTGGGAAAGGCTCTTTAAAAAGGCA